GTGAATTGTTCTGCTTTATTTTTGATTACACTGAAATGAATAAACCACGAAACCAAAAACACATTTTAGGTGATTCAAGAGTCTCAGACTTTAAATGCATAAATAATGTAATTAAGTAAATATTTCAGATTTTTCTCATAGCGGTGGTAGTTCAGTTACCTTGATGCTCAAATTCATAGTGCGTAGAACTGCTGCTGCCCCACCACTGATTAAATGTGCGTTTGTGACACATTCATCTTATGGTGAATGTGAAGAATTGTAAATACTTATAACTGCGCTCCATAAATGCAGTTTATATACCAGCAAACATTTCCTCACCTAGTCTAGACCTGAACCTGACCAGCTCCACCTTCTTCAGTTATTCATATTAAAAGCTCAATTCACATTTTTTTCTGGATTTCATAAACACATTTCCTGAAACTTCCTTTTCTCAAAACAGTAAACACAAAATTCAACACAAAACTCATGCTACACTCACAAAACCTTTGGCTTGTCTTGCAAAATCGAACAATTGACTCAAAACAATTTCAGATTGTTAGATAACACACAAAGCCAGCCCATGCATAAACACTGCACTGCATAAATAGATGCAAAACACACACACAAAAGGATATTTGCACAATCCTGCACCTGTGGTTACTTGTATGCAACAAGAAAACTTGCAGCAAAAAACCCACAAAAAAAATGCTAATCATTCATTTTGCCTCAGCACCGAGCCTCTGGGCCGGGTCAGCCCACAGGACTTCATCTACATCACAGGCACATCCTCTCCTTTGCTGAACGATAACAACAGGGTGTGAGTTGGGTTTAACCTTTGGGACCTCTGTGTTTCTTTCTGGCTAAATTTGTTCAGTGAATGAAAATGTGTTTAAGAGTTTTGCAAAATGAATGATTCCGGTTTGCAAGTTGTTTCTAACCAGATGAACTGTGTTTACAGTTTTGCCAGCTGTGTGACTGATTTGATAAAGTTGTTTTTCCTGTTGATAGTTTTGTTTATGGGTGTCAGTGTTTTGACAATGCAGAAAAACTATAATGAGTTCAGATCAGACATTACAGGTTTTAGTTTGAGCGAGGGCACCATCTGCTGGATGAAAGTGAGAATCACAGTCACTCTGCTCTTTCATGCAAAATCACATTGCTGCAGCAGTTTGTCAGTAGTATCACCTATGATTTTAAATGTTAAACTATGTCATTCAAGCAAGACGTGTGAGGTGAAACGTCTAAAGATTTAGTTTGTAGCCTAGTGGTGAAGTTGGTTGTTGCAGCTGAAGACCCCTCCCCCTCCCCTTCCAAACTCAGAAGATGTTTAGTTTGTCCAGTCTGGATGACTGTAAAAAACATGGCAGCCTCCGTAGAGAGGACCCGCTCCTGATGCAGATATAAAGTATTTAAATATAAAGAGAAAAGAAAACAACAATTCGTAAAATCTAGAAAAAAAACTAGTGCACAACAGTGAAAACATCCCTAGGATTTTTTATATTCAATTTCTGCCGATAGATCCCTTTCACCAAATCTCACACACTGCACCTTTAAATTGAGACGACTTTAGGAAATCCTATTTACCATGATGCATCATCACCCTAATAAATTGTAAAAATCTGCACTCAAATTCATTCACTACGTTTTAATTCATCCACATCTGACTGAGATGCTGCTGATTATCATTTTGCCAAAAGCTCTATGTTAAACAACAGTTTCCAGTGTAAAGGATGAGCTATAAGTGTGAATTGAATAGTTTAGATATATACGTTTGTGTGTGGATATTCACACAGTGGATTTTTATTCTCCTGATTTTTATTTGCTTAGATTCGTACATATAAAGTTATTGTCAATAGGTGGCGCAAGTGCACTTTAATACCTAATGCACACAAAACAAGTTTTTGCCTACAGCATTCTATTCAGTGGCGCTGAAATTAGATGTTGTGAGCGGATCTCTCTCTGTCATCATCAGCGGTCTAGCAGCCCTATTACGACCTCTCAGCCAGCTCAACATGTCCTTTTTCCTGTAGCTCTTCATCAGCGACCGAGACTGGAGACGGATCAGGAGACGTTAAGGTGACAGAAAAACACAAAGGATCTGTGAGTTTCAGATCCTCTTAGAATTTGTCCATCTGCGTATATTTGGTGGGTGGCACAGTGGTGCAGTGGTTCGTTCTGGTTCGAACCTGGCTGTACATTTCTGGAATTTGCATGATGTCTCTGATTTCCTCCCACACTCCAGAGAGATAGGGGACACTCTGGTTTAGTGTGAGTGTGGATGGTTGTTAGTCTCTGTGTTGGCTCCTGTGATGGTCTGGTGACCTCTCGCCCAATGTCAGCTGGGACTGGCTCCAGTCCTGCTCAATCCTCAAAGGGTGAGTGGTTTAGATAATGGACGGTTGGAATATATTTCAGTTTTAACTTCGCAGAACAAAGTGCAAAATGGCCACATGTTGGTGAATCTGTTTCCCTGTGAAGTAGGATTTCAGATAATTCTCATTAGAAAATTTATTTATTAGC